GAGGTGCTCGTACTGGGAGTACTGGAGCTGCTGGGCCTGCGGGTACGACTGGAGCTGGAGCTGCTGAGGGTGTTGACGCTGAGGCTACTGTTGTCGGTCCTGGAGGCGGTCCTGCTGGGGGTGCTACTGGTGCTGCTAGAGGTACTGGAGCTGGAAGTGCTGCTGGCGCTGGTGCTGCCGCTGGGGGTACTGGTGCTGTCCCTGCTGTGTCTGGAGTCGCCGCGCGGCCTCGGCCGTACTTCGTTCCGCTCCTTCAGCAGGTTCTTGGTCTCCCGCCTTCTACTGGTCCTCCTCCTCCCTTAGAGTGTCCACAGCATGTCCCGTCACAGTTACAGTTACAGCCGGCCTCCCCACTGCCCGCTCCTTCTCCCTACACTGGTCCTACTGGAGGTCTTACTGAGCGTCGTGAGCCTGCGTCTCGCCCTGCGTCGCCTGTCCGTGCTGCTCGCACTAGTGGTCGTGGTTCGCGTCAGCGTCCTCCTCCTGTCCCTGGCACGCACCGGATGTCTCTGCGTCCGTCCACTGCTCCTCTGCGTGCCCCTTTGCCTTCTCCTCCTGAGTCCTCTCTTCCTGCTCTTCCTGACCCGGAGTCGGACTCCCTTCGTGCTGCCAGTCCGACTGTCACGCGTCTCCTTGCTACTGTTGTCACTGACCCTTCCTTTGAGTCCACTACTGCGTCTGCCCTAGTTGCTGAGCTCGTCGACTTTGCTGCTCGCTGTCGTCTAGACTACGCTGCTAGTCTTGTTGCTGAGTCTGAGTCTGTCTGTCCTCCGTCCGTCGGGGGTGAGTGTGCCCTTGGCACGGACGTCCTTGAGGACAAGCAGGAGGAGTTCCAGTGTCTGGCTGCTGCTTCACCTCATCTCGTGTCCGTACTGCTTACCCCTGAGGGAGACCCGGATGCACTTGACATCCCGACTCCGCGCTCTTACGCGGAGGCGATAGAGGGTTCCTACTCCTCTCAGTGGCAGGCAGCTATGGACGCAGAGATGGCTTCCTGGAAGTCCACAGGCACCTACGTTGACGAGGTTCCCCCGCCTGGGGCGAACATCGTCAGTGGCATGTGGATTTTCAGGGTGAAGCGGCCGCCGGGTTCTCCGCCTGTCTTCAAGGCGCGTTACGTGGCTCGTGGCTTCAGTCAGCGGCAGGGAGTTGACTACTTTCAGACCTTCTCTCCCACCCCGAAGATGACCACTCTTCGGGTACTGCTGCACATAGCTGCTCACCGCGACTACGAGCTGCACTCTCTTGACTTCAGCACTGCTTTCTTGCAGGGCAGCCAGCACGAGGAGATCTGGCTGCGTCGCCCACCTGGCTTCACTGGGTCCTTTCCTCCTGGCACCCAGTGGAGCCTCCGGCGGCCAGTCTACGGTCTCCGCCAGGCACCGCGTGAGTGGCACAACACACTGAGGACTACACTTGCGGCTCTTGGGTTTGCTCCCTCTACTGCTGACCCGTCGCTGTTTCTGCGCACCGACACTTCTTTGCCGCCGTTCTACATCCTCGTGTACGTCGACGACTTGGTCTTTGCCACAGCTGACACTGCTGGACTCGCCCACGTGAAGTCCGAGCTGCAGAAGAGACACACGTGCACAGACCTGGGTGAACTGCGCAGCTACCTTGGCTTGCAGATCACCCGGGACAGAGCACGCCGCACCATTACCCTGACTCAGTCACACATGGTGCAGCAGGTTCTTCAGCGCTTCGGCTTCACGTACTCCTCGCCTCAGGCCACTCCTCTGCCTACTCGCCACTCGCTCTCAGCTCTGCCTTCGGATGAGTCCGTAGAGTCGAGTGGCCCGTACCCAGAGCTTGTTGGCTGCCTCATGTACCTGATGACCTGCACACGACCTGACCTCGCATACCCTCTTAGCATTCTCGCACGCTATGTTGCTCCTGGGAGACACAGACCGGAGCACATGGCTGCAGCGAAGAGGGTGTTGCGTTACTTGTGCAGTACGTCGGGCATGGGGCTTGTGCTTGGAGGGCAGAGTCCAGTGGTCCTCACTGGGCACGCAGACGCTTCTTGGGCTGACGACCAGGCTACGCAGCGGTCGTCACAGGGTTACACCTTCAGCCTTGGTTCCGGCTCTGTTTCGTGGCGGGCTACCCGCTCGTCTTCTGTTCTCGGCTCCAGTTGTGAGGCTGAGATCTACGCCGGGGCCATGGCTGTACAGGAGCTTCGCTGGCTCACCTACCTGCTCAGTGACCTCGGAGAGCCGCCTCGTTCTCCTCCAGTGCTGTACGTAGACAACAAGGCCATGCTGGCCTTGTGTCGAGAGCAGAGACTGGAGCACAGAACGAAGCACATTGCTCTCCGCTACTTCCTTGCTCGTGAGCTACAGCAGCGTGGTCAGCTACGGCTTGCGTACGTGGCCTCTGAGGCCAACACTGCTGATATCTTCACCAAGGCACTTCCGCCTTGTGATCATCAGCGCTTCTGTACTCAGCTGGGTCTTGTGCCTACCTTGCCTCACTTGCTCACCCCTTGACCTTGCTTGTACTGTTGCATATATATATATACACCTGCTCTTGCTTGTCTAGCCTTATATATATATGCAATCCTGCATGTGAACTGGCCTTGTGGCCTTGAACTTGTGCTCGGAATGTGTGGTGACTTTGTGATCCACCCTGAGCTTGTTTTGCTTTGCTTGACTGGTCTTGTGACCCCTTGTTCTCCCCCACTTTGCCTATGGGGGTGTGTCAGATTTATATGACATAGCTACTGTAGGCTATAGTGGGGTAGCACATATGGGGTACAGTTTTCTAGGGTTTGCTTTTGTACCCAACTTTCCTTTAGTCTTTCCATTCCTTGTTTCTTTTCATTGGGTTTTTTTTCGACATGCCAATATGTTTTGGGTTTCGAGGAAGTCATGCAGCGCATGCAACCAAAATATCGTGGTCTTCGTTGAAATCATTCAGCACGAAATTGGCCAATGATGGTGCCCTCACGAGCTGATGTGCCATATTGCTAGGAGATGAAGGTTCCTGGAACATGGCGACATATAAAATTCAGGGGACCAAAAAGGCTGTTCGGCAGGCATTTTGAACCCGTTAGCTTCGCCAGCCATGCGCTTATCTCGAGCCATGATAACCTGTCAACAAGTTATCAAGGAAGGTTCACGGATGGTCGATTTACTGTTGTCATCCGGGCTGATGCGCCAACCGAACTAAGCCTACGAGTGAAATGGGTGGAATCATGAATGTCAGTCACGTCTTTCTGATTCCGTCCCTTAGGGTCAGTCACGGCTGGTCAGCCCAAAAAAATCCTGCCGAGGTTACGATTCCGTCCGAACCAAACGGAATCATGTTGGCGTGTCGAGCACCCACCATTTCGGACGGAATCATGGAAGTAGGAAAGTGGGGAGCAGATTCGTCCCAAGCTAACGTAGTGTCCGATGCCATCCCATCGCCATTTCCCGTTCCACGCAGATTTGAAGTGGAATGGCAATGGGATTGGTAGCTAGGGGTAACCACAAACAGATCCGAATAAGGGACATTCATGCCCTCCTTTACACCACATTTGGCGTCAAATCTGCCCTTCCGAACACACCTCTGCCCACATTTCACGTTTTTTACCCTACGGTCATTTTTTTAAGCACCCGGTCAGGCAGTCGCATATTCGTGCCAAAAATTCGTGCCAGGAGATTGGAAGGTGGGGAGGGTGGTTCCTGATTCCATTGCCACCATTCCCCTTTCTGGCGGGAAATTTCGCGAGGTGGCCAGACCCCCAAAACGTATTTGGCAGGTTCCTCCCCCGTTTCCTGATTCCACGCCATATATATATGGCACCATTTGATAGCATTTAGGCAATGGAGTTCGGTGGCAACACTCTGGCCCGAATTGGCTCTAGGATTTCCGAACCTGGGTCACTAGAGACAATGTGCAACTGGATTTGGGTTAGGTCGTGGAACATCTGGAAACTGACCGGTACAAACCAAGGCACCGTTCAGAACTCGGTGTGGTGACACTTTTCATAGGGATTCGCGAGAGACTTCGCTATTGGTTCTGCGACTTCGCCATTGTGCGGAAACCAGTTGGAACATTTGGTCGTTTGCATTTCGTTCAGGTGATGCGAACGATCGGAATTGCCCCGTTCGGAACTCAGATGTACAGTAGCCGTGCGATTGCCATGGCGAACTAGTACAGTGTACGGCGACGTCGCAGAATTCTCCCCAAGTACATCAAATGTTCGAAGTCCCGAAGCCGTTAGTATGCCCTGCACAGCCAAGCGTGAAAGCGAGAGAGTGGAGAAGTGACATCGTGCGAATTGACTGCTTGAGTGGCCCTACTGCAACTGCATATTTCTGAACGATGCTCGGCACACTGACCTGCCCCGTTGTGGTTGTGCAACACGAAAGGTTGCATGTGGTGTTTGTATATAGGCGAAGATATGATTGTAACGTGTGCGACATTGCGAGAATGTACAGTAACGCTCGAGAAAAAAAAAAAAAAACGGGCCAAACGTTTACGTTCGGACCAGGCTAGTTCCGAACCGGTATGGACCAAACCGCACGACGGTGCGGAACTCGGGGGCTTCGTACAGAGCTTGACTGGAGATTCCTAGATGTTCCACGCCCTTACAGTGTTGACAGCCGTTCAAACATCCAACGCTTAACAGTACAAATTGTGTTGAAACCTAATAAAAGAAGCAAAATCATATAGATGCTACTCACAAAAGTCCGATGAAGTCTGATGCGACATAAGGAGCTTATATATTTCTTTACTAGAGCGCATTTCTTAGAACACCTACAGACGTTCAATTTACAATACAGAATATTGTTGTTCATTGCACGTGGTATATTGAGTGAGGACACTTGAACATGGTTTCTTAGGGTTGATCGCATACATGAGCAACAGGCGAACTCAATCATGTTTAACCCGGACAGTTTCGAACACTTGTGTCATGAACTGAATGAATGGCTCCTGAGGGCATACAGAGGGGGTATAACTAGCATCTCATACCCTCTATATTGAAACCCAACCTAGCCTACAAAGTACAAATGCAAACATTACATGTATACATTGACACACCCCCTAGGATAGGTTAGGAGCAGTGCATAGAAAATGAGTGACATCTTAGAGCGGCATCACTGATCCAGCCTTTGAGGCAAGGGGCCATAAGGCCAGTCAGCAATAACAACAAGGTATATGAGGTACAACTCGGGGCGGTACTATTAGCCCAGCCTTCGAGACACAGGGCTGTCGAACTAAATTTGTTATAGTTTCATATGTGTTAGTCTAGGTGTGACATGTTTCTGCTAGTACCGTTAGTGTTTGGTAAATCTATGCTTGTACTTCTCATTTCTAGTTCATAACTTCCCATGGTATAGAGCATCGATTGATCCTATGGGCCCACCACCTCGTGTCTCGCCCGATCCCGTAGCGCCCCGTCACCCTTAGCGCCCCATTGCCCGAAGCACCCCGTCGCGCGTAGTGCCCGTTTAGGTCGCCCTCCTGTCGCCTCCATGTCCCCTCCCCGTCGCCTCCCCGTAGCCTCCCCGTCGCCTCGTCTTCGCCTCCCCGTCGCCTCCCTGTCGCGTCCCCTCCCCGTTGCCTCCCCGTCACGTCCCCTCCCCGTCGCCTTCCCATCGCATCCCCGTCGCATCCCCTCCCCGTCGCGTCCCCTCCCCGTCGCCTCCCCGTCGCGTCCCCTCCCCGTCGCCTCCCCGTCGCTTCCCCTCCCCGTCTCCTCCCCGTCGTGTCCCCTCCCCGTCACCTTCCCCTCGCCTCCCCTTCCCCTCCCTGTCGCCTTCCCGTCGCCTCCCCGCCACCTCCCGTCGCCTTCCCGTCACGTCCCCCTTCCCGTCGCCTCCTCGTCGCGTCCCCTCCCTGTCACCTCTCCGTCGCCTCCCCGTCGCGTCCCCTCCTCATCGCCTCTCCGTCGCATCCCCTCCTCGTCGCCTCCCCATCGCGTCCCCTCCCCGTCACCTCCCCGTCGCCTTCCCATCGCCTCCCCTTCCCCTCCCCGTCGCCTTCCCATCGCCTCCACCTCCCGTCGCCTTCCCGTCACGGCTCCCTTTCCCGTCGCGTCCCCTCCCTGTCACCTTCAAGCCGGCGGTATTTCGAGACTGGGAAGAAGCGAGCTAAATGTCGAAGTGTAAGTAGGCTCTGATGCCCAAGTGTGAGAGGATCAAGACTCCACTTCAACATATTATAATGAACCTGGGTACCGAGGCTCTAGGAATAGAGCCTTTCCGAATTTGGTAGAGTCATTCGGCAAATAGGTACGCACACGCTAGGTCACGCGAGATAATTCTAGAAACTAGTAAAATCCGGTGCACGCAATCCTATTCGGTGAATATAACCAAATTAAGACAAAGAAAAGTAAACGAATAGGAAAACGAGCATAGAAAATGCCTTAAGAAAATAGAAATACGCTAAAATAGGGTAGAACGGACGACGTACTCTCACACCCGCAGCCGAAGCGTCTGGAGGCAAACTCGCCACCACGGTCAGAGTGTAGACGAATCACACGACAGTTGTGATGGGCGCAGGCGGCCACCAGCTACGTCATAAGAGTGTCAGGTGCGTCGGCCTTGGTGTAGCTGCAAGGGAAACACCGTGGTGTAGCGAGATTGGTTGTCAACAACAACCAGGAAATAGCTCTCCTGGCGTGGCCCTGACACAAGGGCTGGGCCCCACACGTCCATGTGCAAAGTCTGAAAGGGAGCAGTGTTACGTGGAAACAAGGAGGAGTGAGGGGCGGCGTGATACTGGCCCTCGATGCAGGGAGTGCAAGGTGGCACGGAAGAGGGAGGGAGCGGTGCGAGGGACACTGGGGGACCTGAGACGAGATGGTGTTGCACCATGTGATAGAGACGCAGGAAGGAGGGGTGACCTAGATGGTGGTGCCACAGGAGCGACGAGTGAGTGAGCGACCGACACGAGCACGACACAGCTTCCTGACATGACCCAGTGACCTGGGGAGACTTAGTTCGCAGCGAGAAAAGACCTCGCATGGTCTCAGTGAAATTTGGCAAGAGGCCCAGTGGTAGTGTTTGTACTGGCCGCAAACCGCTCGTGTCCAGCAAACGTAGTGGTGATACCAAGGTCCTGAAGACATCCAACACCTACCAAGTTCCTGGAGAACGAGGGGATGTGCAGACTTGTACGGGATCCAGAAGGGACTGTTGGACACGGGAGAGCAGTAGTGCTACGAGCGACTACTGGTCCTGAGGTGGGGTCGGCCAAAGTGACTGGGACTAGTGCTGGAAGAGGCATAAGGCGAGCGTGGTCGCGGAAGAAACACCGAGATGCGCCAGAGTCGAGTGTGAAGGAGAGCGACGCGTCAGCAGTGGCTGCACTTGTGCAAGTAACGGTAGAGGATCCTACACTAGAGACATCTAGATATTATAGTCAAGGCACACACGAATAGAGATTCAGAAGAATTATAGTCAGTAGCATACATCACATGAGCAGAAAATAAAGCATCATAAATCGCAGACATATCCATAGTAAAGATGGGCAGCTCACGACGAAGCAATGCAGACCAGTCCAGCACCCGTGTCGCCAGGCCGTAGCGGGCGCAGTAGAGGTCGAAGAGGCGGCTGAAGCACCGCGCAACTGAGTTGTCACCATGGCCGCAGAACCGGCCGGCACGTGGTCCAGTCTAGATCATGTGCTGGCAGGGTTACAGTCTCGGGGTTGCGGCCAATGCTCCTGGGCCGACAGAGCCCCACTGCTACTTCTGAAACTGCGGCGGACCCATGGCTGAAACACTTGCACATGCTGTTGCTGCTGCTGCCCACCGAGACGAGCATCACCTTTAGTCGCACCACCAGACCCTACACTTCCTCCAGCGTCAACACCTCCAGACGACCCGGTACATTCACCACCTCCACCGCCTCCGCCCCCTCCACCCTTCTTTTGGCTCTTGCGGTACTGCTGCTGGCCGGAGGCAGCAGCTACTGCAACCTACGTCGTGGCAGTAGACTCTGCAACAGATGCCGAGATGGCAGGGCTAGCAAGAAGGGAGGGGGCACACCTCTCCAAGATGGGGGAGGGCACAGTACCAGATGAGGCGGCAATGGCGCGGAGAGTAGAATCGATCTCAGTCGTTCATATGATTTTTCATACCAGTCCCTATAGCTAATCTGAATTTTCAGATAGCGAGTTTGTTTCGTCTGAAACCGACAAACTGCGCCACTAGGCCATAGGACCACAGTTACAGTTCTCTGCTGCCTGTATCTGCATGCGTAATGAATTCTCCCTGTCTCGTAGCATCCTTGCTGTCGAATCTCTTCACCGCTAGCCCTGATTCTGAGTCATATGCTACCAGGGCTTTGTCGTCTAGCTGGTTGTCGGCGCCGATGCCAGCTTTTGCACGGCAAGGCGCTGTCATTCTGTGCCAGCGCGGACATGGGAGGACGTGACGCGTAGTGGGGTGTGGTACCTGTCTCACATCCCACGGCGCACATCAAGATGACGCGGGACGTGGCGTGGCAAGGGTTTCATGCAACAGGGTGGGGGAGGAATCAAAGCAGTCTGCCTCATCTTTCTTGCTCGTTCCCTCTTGCTTAACTCTCAACCAGCCGAGTATCAACCCGTTCTTGTCGCGCCAGATTCGTTCCTCTCTCACCCTAATGTAGCCCTGACGGCCTTTCCCACTGCCGAACCGCTCGCCTCATATGGTGATGGTACAGCATCGTTGCCCGGGGTTGAGGCATCCCAAATATCGGCGTTAGATTTCCTCACGCGGTGCATGCCCGTAACTACATGCATGCCTCACTCCGTTGGTGAAAGGAACCACCATGCAGCATCTGTAACAACCACTTCCACACTCCAAGCTAATCCCATGTTGCCTGGCAGGACTTCAAATAAGACCAGTTACAAGCAGCGGACGCTCAACTTTGCTCGTCCTAGCGGTCCTACAGAGCCAGCACCATCGCAAAATAAACGCCCAGTGGCACGGGATCCCGCTGATGACAAAAAAGAGGACGATGTTGGCAGGCCATTGATTCGTGAGGAGTTGTAGCTGAAATGTAAAGAGGAGTGGCATCGATTATTTCCGTGGCTCGTTATCTCCGAGACGAAGAACGGGCGACCCTGCATGCGCTGTAGCATCTGTCAGATTTATATGACATAGCTACTGTAGGCTAGAGTGGGGTAGCACATATGGGGTACAGTTTTCTAGGGTTTGCTTCTTGTACCCAACTTTCACTTAGTCATTCCCATTCCTGTTTTTCTTGATTCACATGGTATAGAGCGGGTTCCTACATGGGACCGTTCCTTCCTAAGGGCCCACCATAAGAAATTTTTTTTTTTTAGCTGCCCGCGCACATTGCGCCCTGCCCTAAATTTTTTTTTTTTTAGCGGCCCCTACGCTGCCTCTACGCGGCCCCTACGCCGCCTCCCACGCGCCCCCTATGCGGCCCCTGGCGGCGCCCTGACGAGGCCCCTGCCGGCGCCCTATCGCGGCCCCTGACGCGCCCCCCTGGTGGCGCCCTGACGCGGCCCCTGGCGGCGCCTGACGCGGCCCTGACGCGGCCTGACGCGGCCCCTGGCGGCGCCCTGACGCAGCCCCTGCCGCGGCCCTGACGCGGCCCTGCCGCGGCCCCTGACGCGGCCCTGACGCGGCCTGCCGCGGCCCCTGCCGCGGCCCTGAAGCGGCCCCTGACGCGGCCCTGACGCGGCCCTGCCGCGGCCCCTGGCGGCGCCCTGACGCGGCCCCTGACGCGGCGCCCTGACGCGGCCCCTGCCGCGGCCCTGACGCGGCCCTGCCGCGGCCCCTGACGCGGTCCTGACGCGGCCTGCTGCGGCCCCTGCCGCGGCCCTGAAGCGGCCCCTGACGCGGCCCTGAAGCGGCTCTGCCGCGGCCCTGACGCGGCCCTGACGCGGCCCCTGACGCGGCCCCTGCCGCGGCCCCTTACGCGGCCCTGACGCGGTCCTGCCGCGGCCCCTGGCGGCGCCCTGACGCGGCCCCTGACGCGGCGCCCTGACGCGACCCTGCCGCGGCCCCTGACGCGGCCCCTGCCGCGGCTCCTGACGCGGCCCCTGACGCGGCCCCTGTCGCGGCCCCTGACGCGGCCCCGCCTCCTCTCAGCGGCTCCGCCGCCTCCTCTAAGCGGCCCCGCCGCCTCCTCTCAGCGGCCCCGCCGCCTCCTCCCAGCGGCCCCGGACGCCGCCCTCTCAGCGGCCCCGCCAAGCCGCCCAGCAGCCGAGCCGCCGAGCCGCCCAGCAGCCGAGCCGCCCAGCAGCAGAGCCGCCGAGCCGCCCAGCAGCCGAGTCGCTGAGACGCCCAGCAGCCGAGCCGCCGAGCCGCCCAGCAGCCGAGCCGCCCAGCAGCCGAGTCGCCGAGCCGCCCTGCAGCCGAGCCGCCCGAGCCGCCCTGTCCGGTAAGAGCAGCGCCTCTCTCACAGCACTGCCCTCACCCCACTGTTTGCACTGCTAGTCTACTACTGTCATGGCTACCCCTAGTGTCCTCGCTTTTGACGCTGAGGGTCGGGCCATTGACTTTGACGTCTGGATAGATGACCTGCAGCTTTTCTTACAGTGCGATAGGGCAGACGGCCTCTCCCTCTTTGACCTCACTTCTGGTGCCTCTCCTGCTCCCGCCACTGATGCTGACGCAACTGTTCGCTCCCAGTGGGCCACGCGCGATGCTGCTGCACGTCTTGCTGTGCGTCGCCACCTGCCTACCTCTGAGCGTGCGCACTTTAGCCAGTACAAGAGTGCTCAGACCTTGTACGACGCTGTAGTTGCACGCTACTCCTCCCCTGCCACTGCTGCACTGAGCCGCCTCATGCTACCGTACCTCTTCCCTGACCTTGCTGCCTTTCCCACAGTCGCTGACCTCATCACGCACCTCCGCACTAGTGACACTCGCTACCGCGCTGCGCTTCCTGCTGAGTTCTGCGCCAAGAACCCCCCCCCCATGTACATCACCCTCTACTACATCGTCACCCGTCTCCCTGACTCCCTTCGCGTAGTCAGGGACCACTTCCTCTCGGTTTGTCCCACCACTCTCACCGTTGACCTCCTCGAGAAGGCCCTCCTAGCAGCAGAAAAGAGCATAGTCGCTGTAGGAGCCTCTCGTGGTGACCCTCGCACCCCCATCTTTGAGGGGTGTTCCCCCTCCCCTCTTTTGCCCTCTGTTGCCTCT